CGCGATTTATACTTTTGTTTCGCCTTTTGTTTCCGGTTCAGCTTTTATTTTTCCGTTTTCTCTTTTCTGTTTCTTTTCCACTTTGAACCCCGACAAAACGGTAACAGGAGATTCAGGCGAGCTGCGCGGACGTTTGCGAGAGCTGCCAGAAGAAAGTGTACCCCCTCGAGAAGGTGGAGACGAATAACAAAATCTTCCATAAACAGTGTTTCCGGTGTCTGCAGTGCAATTGCGTGTTGAGGTAACGTGCTCGACAATGGAACCGATGAACGGTCCAAAGGAACAGAACTCGGAAACCCTTCCAATGTAATTCAATACAATCTAATCGTCTATAATCGATACAACGAGAAATTCCGAATCAATCCTTTCGACTGTTCTGATGGTTCCAAAGTCGACCAAATCTTCCATTTGTTATGCAACGACTAAAACTACGATAAGACACTATAGTACGACTAACAATCAACACCCAAGCATCTCCGTTATTCGCGGTTTACACGAAGCGAAGCCTCGAGATCGTGAATAACGGAGTGAATTCAGGTATCCCGGAATGCAATTAACCACACAGACAGACCTACAATGAGAACACGCCAAGCGAATAGAAGTAAGAACAATGTCTAACGTCCAGCAGCGTATGCTCACATGTCGGTTCGCTTCGTTTGTTCGGCCAGGATGGACACGTTTACCTTGAACAACGGTAAACTGTACTGCATCCCGCACTTCAAGCAGCTGTTCATCACGCGGGGTAACTACGACGAGGGTTTCGGCGTGGACCCGCATAAGAACAAATGGACGACCAGCGCGAGCAACCCGACGAGTCCGGCGCCGATCGCGGTCTCGAACGGCGACCTCTGATTCGCCGCGGTCCGTGTGGCCGTGTCCGCGAATCCTACCAGAGAACGAAGACGATAGCACGCGCGCGAAACGCCGATTAACGGCACTGTGTAAATCCTTTGACGAGCGAACGGTTACCGGTCGGGGTAGAAACCCATGGAAAATCGTTCTAGTTCTCCAAAGACCGCCCCGTCATGTCTCCCCCGAAACC